CCATCCGGTTTAACTGTAGTTTTGGTCTTCATTGACATTTACTTTCACCTAGGACTTACCTATTGGTTTTATTTATGTCTTGGGAGGTAATTTAGCTTATTTTGTGTTCTGTGGGTAATTCACAAGCATGTGAATTGTTCTGTAATTAAGTAAGGTGGTCAGTCGGTGTCATCTAGATCTTGTTGATTCATAGTGCTTTAAATTTTATTTGCTGGTACTCTGCTTTTCTATCAACTGTTCAGAGAGCAGTATTGAAATTTCCAAATATAATTGTAGATACAATTATTTCTCCATTCAATGCCTTATTTTTCCATGTATTTCGCACCTCTGGTATATTGTATGTTAGATTTCTTAGAGTTGCCTTGTTTTGTTGGTGGGTTGACTTTGTTATTGCGGGTTTTTTTTTGTGTGTAAGATTTATTTATTTTTATTGGAAAGGCAGATATACAGAGAGGAGAGATAGAGAGGAAGATCTTCCCATCCAATGATTCCCTCCCCAAGTGACTGCAATGGCCGGTGCTGTGCTGATCCTAAGCCAGGAATCTCCTCCAGGTCTCCCACATGGGTGCAGGGTCCCAAGGCTTTGGTCCGTCCTCAGCTCTTTCCCAGGCCACAAGCAGGGAGCTGGATGGGAAGTGGAGCAGCCGGGATTAGAACCAGCGCCCATATGGGACCCTGGGCGCATTCAAGGCGAGGACTTTAACTGCTAGGCCACCGTGCCAGATCCAGTTTTGTTTTCTTTTATGATAATCTTTGAAGTCTACATTTAGTTCTTAACATACCTAGTGCTTTTTTTTATTATTAGTGTGTCTGTAATAGTTCATTCTCTTTTACTTTTAATCTATATTATATTTGAATTTATATTTTTTTCAGACACTATATTGGGCCATTTTTTTAAAAAAAAAACAGACTTAGTGCTTATATTCTGATTAGCATATTTAGCTGCTCACGTTTCATGGCATTAATATGTGAGGGCTTAATCTACCCTGTATTTTATAGTTCAAGAAATTTCCATTTCATTCCTTTTTTTACATTTTTTTAGACTTTTCTCCTGCCTTGCTGAGACTTGGTTTTCACTTGATTTATTGTGTCCTCAATGCTTGTTCAAGCTTTAATTTTTTAAATTGCTGCTTTAAAATCTTTGAGGGGGGCAGTGCGGCACAGTGACTTCTTTGGCTAATCCTGCTCTTGTGGGCTCCGGGATTCCATTTAGGCACTGGTCCGTGTCCTGGCTGTTCCACTTCCTATCTAGCTGCCTGCCTATGGCTTGAGAAGGTAGCAGAGGATGACTCAAATACTTAGGCCCCTGACCTGAGTGGGAGACCCTGAAGACACTCCTACATGGGTACACGGGCCTAAGTAAACATTTGGGCCATGTTCTGCTGCCTTCCCAGGCATGTTGACAGTGAGCTGGATTTGAAATGGAGCGGCGAGGACTCGAACCCATCTGATATGGGATGCTGGTACCACAGCAGAGGCTTAATCTGATATGTCATGGCATTGATCCCTCAAATAACTTTTCCAAATCTTCTGCCATTGTCATTTCACTGCCTCTTTTCTTCTACTTCAGAACTAAACTCTTGTAAAGTGTTCTTTATAGTTATTTTTTCTAATTCTTTCTCTTTAAATATATTTCAGTGAGATTTTCATTTCTGCCACTTCTCTGAAACAATATTGTTGTAGCATTTACAAGAGAATAATAATAGTAGTAGTTAGAGCTTATGCTTGTCATTGAAATTATACCGAGAGGGAAATCTATGGTTTTAAATGCTATATTAAGTGAATTTGGCAAGATACTGTTCAAGGAAAACAATGTGAAGGCAAAAAAAAATGTGGTTTAGAAAATGTTGTGGGAGCCAGTGTTGGTCTGAGCAGGTTAAACCACTATTCATGATACTGGCAACATCCTATATCAGAGTGCCAGTTTGAGTCCTGTATGCTTTGTTTCCAAATCAGTTCCCTAATAACACTCTGGTGACAGTAGCAGTGGATGGCTTGAATTTTTGGTGCTCTGTGTACCATATGGGAGACAAGGATGGAGTTTGTGGCTCCTGGCTTCAGCCTGGTCCAGTCCTGACTATTGTAAGCATCTGGGGAGTGAGTTAGTGGATAGAAGAATCTTTCTTTCTCCCTCTCCCACTTCTTTCTTTTCTACCTCTCACTTGCTCCTTCTCTTCTCCCATTTCACTGCCTTCTGCCTTGTTCTCTCTTTTTTCCTTACTTTCGCTCTTTTGCTCTGCCTTTCTTCAAATAAATATTTTTAGAAAAAAAAATTGTTTCAATTAACATTTAATTCAAGTCTTAGTTGAAATAATGTATCAAAAATTAAATGACTAAAGCAAATTTAAAAAGTAGTAGGAAATCTGAATAACATACAAATATTGAGTGCTTAAAAGTCTTCTTTTTCTTCTTCAGTAAATCAACCCGAATAATTTTGCATTTGCGTGTGACAGACACTAATTCTAATAATGCTATATATTTTTTCCAGAAAACAAGAAAAAGTAGTAATTAAAATAAAATTTTCAAGGCTTTTTACATTTATATTGTAAGAGTATTGTCAAGGGATGATTTTTCATTCAGCTTTACAAAAAAACACAGCAAGAAAAACAAACTAGGAATGTATAAAACTGTAACCCAAAGAAAATTGGCTTATTTTAGAAAATCAAGGTGTATTTGACATTAAAAATATACCGAAAGTGTTACACAGTAATCATTGATATAAAATGGTGAAAGTGTTAACTACAGCTGAGTACTCAGGTGTTGGCAGTATTTTGTGACTGGTCAGATTCTGTGTTGAGGGGAGTACAGTGGGTTGCAATAGATGGTCTAGTTGACTTGAGTCAGGAAAGTCAGAGCCTGAAGTCGTGAGCTAGGTATTGATGAATAATTTCTCAGAATGGTCGAAGGCAGCAATTTGTTTAAAAAAAGAATTCATTATTTTAAAGAGTGGGACAGAGGAAAAGAGAGAGAGAGAGGGAAGGAGCCATCTGATGGCTCACTCTCCAGATAACCTCAAAAATCAGGCCCTGGCTGAGCTGAAGCCTGGAGCCAGAAGCTTCTTACAAGTCTCACACATGGATGCAGGGTCCAAGCACTTGGATCATCCTTATCTACTTCTCCAGGCTATTAGCAGAAAGCTGGATCAGAAGCAGACAGTCAGGAATTGAACTGGCATCCATATGGGATGCCAGCATTGCTGGTAGTGGCCTTACCTGCCATGCCACAACACTAATCTGGCAACAACAATTTAAATAGAAGAAATGACGTGCTACATCACAAACGTGACATTTGGGAATGGCAGCTGAATTATAACTAGATATGTAACTGAAGTGGCAAGACATAAGATAGATTTGTACCAAGTTATGAAAACCTTGGTCTGCATTGCATTTTGAACTTTCCAACCCAATGAGAGTTGGAAAGTCAAGATATTTGGAAATCTATTTAATTGCTTAAGGTCTTATGCTAATATAAGCAAACATAGTTTTTCAGTGTATTTTTTATTTTACATGTGTACTTTATGTCAAGTCAGGTGCTTCTACTGATTGTCCTTCACTTTTTATTTGCTAAAAGGGAGCAAACCAGATTTATGAATAGAGCATTTAATAATTTCCCCTTTATCTTTTTTTGCAAAGTCAGATACACAGAGAGAAGGAGAGACAGAGAGGAAGATCTTCTGTCCAATGATTCACTCTCCAAGTGACCGCAGTGGCCGCTGCTGCGCTGATCCTAAGCCAGGAGCCAGGAATCTCCTCCAGGTATCCCAAACGGATGCAGGGTCCCAAGGCTTTGGTCCGTCCTCAACTGCTTTTGCAGGCCACAAGCTGGGAGCTGAATGGGAAGCGGGGCCGCGGGGATTAGAACCAGTGCCAATATGGGATTCTTGTGCATTCAAGGCAAGGGCTTTAGCCACTAGGCCACCGTGCCAGTCCCGATTTCTCCTTTATCTTAAGTATTTTCAAGTTAATCCTAGGATCTGGAGCAATAGCCTAGTGGCTAAATGCTCACCTTGCATCTGACAGTATCCTATATGGGCACCAGTTCATGTCCCGGCTGCTCCACTTCCCGTCAAGCTCCCTGCTTGTGCTGTTGGAGGACAATAGAGGACGACTCAAAGTTTTGGTACCTGTACCTGTGTGGGAGACCCAGAAGAGGCTTCTGGTTTAGGATTAGCCTGGCTCTGGTCGTAGTGGCAACATGGGGAATGAATCTGCGGATGGAAGATTTTTCTGCGTCTCCTTGTTTGTATATCTGCCTTTTCAATAAAAAATGAAATAAATCTTAAAAAAAAAACAACAACAAAACAAAACCCTACTCCTAGATAGTTAAAGGCCAGTGTCTTTGAATAACTTATTGCCTATGAATTTACCTGAGAAGTATGGCAGTGACATGATAAGTTTTTGCTTTCTTAGTTTTACATGTAATAAAAGTATGTTTTAATACATCTCTTTTTAAAAGCTTTTGATAATTTTATTACAATTTTTTCCTCAGGACAGGGATTTGGTGTAGTGGTTAAAACATCTTTATCCTGTATGATAGTGCCTGAACAAGATTCCTGGCTCCACTCCCAATTTCATTTTCCTGTGAAGACACACCCTCAGACACTGCCGAGTAGCGGCACACGTAGCTGAGCCCTTACCGCCTATGTGGGAGATTGGATTATATTCTAAGCTCCAGTTCTCAGCTTCAGCCCGATTCCACTTGACTGTCACAGGCATCCTGGGAGTGAGCCGCAGACGGGAGCCCTCTGTGTCACCGCTTTTCAAATAAACAGATATATGTAAACTTCATGAAGTAATGCTTCATTGATTGCTTTATTTTATTCCCATTTTCCTTTTTTTTTCTATTGCACTGGTATATATACAGCAACAGGTTTTGCTAAATTTGTGAATCAAGGATTTTTAAATCTAATTGCACAAATCTTTGTCAATGCATTCATTCGTAATCCTTAAAGACTCTTTTTCTTAATTTTCTTGATTCTATACTCTTGTTTTGCATTTAAGGTGTGACTGCACAGAAAAGTTACAAAATAAATTTGATTTTTTGCGCTCACAGTTGAATGATATTTCATCATTTAAGAATATCTACAGATATGCCTTTGATTTTGCAAGGGTAGGTGCCATTTCCATGGTTTTTATTTTAATTAATTTTTAAAATTCGATATTATTTGTAGATCCAATTCTAAGAACATGATGAAAGGAATATTTTTCTACTTTTATTTTAGGATAAAGATCAGAGAAGCCTTGATATTGATACAGCTAAGTCTATGTTAGCGCTTCTGCTTGGAAGGACGTGGCCACTGTTCTCAGTATTTTATCAGTACCTGGAGGTATGTGTGTTTTTTTTATTTTTCATGAAAAAATAGTTTCTGCTTTTGGATAAGAAAGAATTGATGAGCACATAAAAGAAGGTTCTACATCTGGTTTCTTTGTTTCTTAGAATCTGGTGCTGAAATGCACATATGATAGCCAAGGATAGTAATGACTGTTTCTGCTTAATCAATCTAAATAGGGCAATAAACTTCTTAATATTTCCTGTTCACTGATAACAGAATGGCTGCAATATACGGGTACTTCAGGAAGTTTATGGGGAATGAAATCAAATGATATGCTTATTTTGGTGCAGGAGAAATTATTAGTACTAATGATAATTGTACGTATTTGTGGCTTGCAGTGTAATATTTCAGTACATACATATTGTGTACTTTTAGAACAGGCCCATTACATTGTCCCTTCCTTGACATTCCTTTATGATTGCAGATTTGAAGCTGCTTTCTGCTGCATGTACGAGGTTATTATAAACTGTTGTCTCCCCACTCTTGTGTAACACTAAGAACATAATGTTGCACTCCAACTCTGATTTCGTGCCTATTGCCTATTGTCCAAACTCAATTTTCCCACTACCAGCCCCTCCTAATCTAAATCACCATCTTGTGTTCAACACAGCTGCAGGAACTTAGATGAATGTAGCAAATGTTTTGTATCACAAGCTCAAATTTCTTGTCACACACTGTTACTTATTTTCATGTTAAAAATCAAGGAAAAATAGATGGTGTTGCTATTTAAATGCTTTTGAAGGTTCTCTAGAAACACAAACAAAAGAAATGAGTAAAAGCTCGAACACAAAAAAAGTTAGAGCAGTTGTAATGCAATTAAGCCCCAATAGATAAGATTTGTTCCATGAACCATGTATTTATATTATTTTCCACAGCAATCAAAGTATCGTGTTATGAACAAAGATCAGTGGTACAACGTATTAGAATTCAGCAGAACAGTTCATGCCGACCTTAGTAACTATGATGAAGATGGTGCTTGTAAGTATGATGTATTCCTATCAAAATAGAATTCGCCATAAGTATTATGTAGCGTGAAGTTTTGTAGCATTAGCTTAGAAAATTTTAGGGCCTGGCACAGTAGCCTAGTGGCTAAAGTCCTCCTCCCCTTGCACGTGCTGGGATCCCAAACGGACAATGGTTCATATCTTAGCTGCTCCATAGCTCGTCCAGTTTCCTGCTTATGGCCTGGGAAAGCAGTAGAGTGATGGCCCAAAGCCTTGGGACCTTGCACCATTGTGAGAGACCCAGAAGAGGTTCCTGGCTCCTGCTGGCTTTGGATTGGCTCAGCCCCAGCCATTGCAGCCTTTGGGGAGTGAGCTAACGGAAGGAAGATCTTTCTCTCTGTATCTCCTTTTATTGACTTTCCAATAAAAATAAATAAATCTTAAAAAAAAAAAGATTTTAAGAGCTATAACAGTCATTTAATGTTTTAATTATGGGATATAAGGAAGTAGCTTAAAATTGAACTTCAAAATTATGAGTAAATTTGTAGTGATATATTTACATCGTATCAATACTTAAAATATTTGCCCATACTGTTTAGTAGCAAGATTGGAATGCCATAAAACAGAATTTTGAAATAAGAATAAATTAATTAGATAAACCATGTTAATTTTCTGTGAATACAAATTTTAGTTTCCACCACTGTTTTGATTGCATGTATTCTATTGTTCAGGAGGATTATATGTATGATAAGGTACATTCCTGTAATCATGAATTGAAATTATGCACTTATTCCTGTGGTACTGAATACATAAAATATCAAAGGATAATTTTATTGCTAACTCATCTGATCTTTCCCTACAAGAGCTATGAGGTTTATTATTTTAAAGCAGTACTCCTTGAAGCAGTCAGCTGGCAGCCTGAGAGTTATAAATCACCTGTGCATGTATATATTTATGTATTTTCACCTAACTGGTGATTTTGCTTGGCAATACTTCCTGATTGATTTGATGTGGCAACAGATCAACAAAGTTGCAGCTGTATTCCTTCGGAGAAGTCAAAGACTAGAACCAGCTAATGACCTGTGTTTAATTTACTTTCCAATTTCTTGGTCTACCCGTATGGCAACACTTTTGCTGTGTGTTTTTTTAGCTGCTTTTTTTTTCCTGTAGCCGTATGTTACTGTACTTGTTATGTTTTTCTTAGAGAAACGTATCTAAAACATGAAAAAATATAAGACTGCCTGAGGGCTGTATGTGTTAAGAAAAATGAGGCAACTATATTTCTTTGTGATAGTACTTTTTACTGCTTTAGGAAAAAATGACACTGAGCTCATTAAATTACATTTCTGCCTTCATTAGGTACATTATTTTGGCCATTTTGTTACTAAAGTGTTATATGGCTGGTTCACCTCCACAAACCTATGTGTTTCTTGGGGAAATAACAGAAATGGCATCTTAAGCATTTTTCAGACCTTCTAAGGATTAAGTGCTAGATGTTATGGCAACTTAGATAAGCGACTAGTTTGGTATTGATTCAATTACTGGAAAATTCATGAGATGTAGCTTAGTAAGTTGCTTTGGATATTTGTTGTGAATAAGTTCTTAAGGGTAAAGAAAATGCCAAGAAAGCATTGTTGATGGTCAGAGTGACATAGCAGAAGATCTGATGGAAGAAATCAGTCTGTTATTAGAGAGTTTGTGGGGATTAAATTGACAGAACTTGTTTCTTTATTTCTAGGGCCTGTTCTTCTTGATGAATTTGTTGAATGGCATAAAGTCCGTCAAACTTCATAGCAACAACTGTAGTGAAGAAAATGCAAGCCTTTTAATTCCCGGTGTATACAAGCTCATGGCAAGGAGGGAAGAATCCAAGGATGCGTTTTTATTCATATGAAAGACTTCTTATAGTCCTTTTTTTCTTTTCCTTTTTTTTAAAGGAGGTTTTCTTGTTCCATGTGATGGGCATTGAACCACACTTCTGAGACTGAATATGGAAATTTTTGTTTCAAGTTATGTTTTTAACATTTATTTCAGAACAATAAAGATTCAGATTTGTGACAAAGGCCTTAAAGTGAAGATGTCCCTAAAGTGTCAGAGTGGTATTTATTTTTGTAAATCAATTCAATTTTTAAGGTTTTAAACCAGACATTTGTGGACTTTCAGAGATTTTAAACAATCTTTATACTTGGCAGTGTAGTCTTCTGGTGGTATGGCTCATTCTAGTCATCTGTGCACAATTAGGAAGAGTACTCGCCTCGACTTCCAACACTATGCTTTTCTGATGAAATTATATGGAGTGCTCCTACTTTCTGCTTTGGGATTCTGTAAATGTTGCCAGGGTCTTATGCATATATCTTCCCTGAAGAATTTAGAACTCGAAAGTCCTTCATTTTCTGTCCATTAAATAGTATTTTCAGTGAACATAAATGAGCATTGCATGTATATTCTTCATGTAAATTTTAATTTTTTTCTCACTTTAAAAAGGTACATTTATGTTTCAAAGAGCAATGTTGATTAATGGTTTCAAAATCAGATTCTTTGTGAGAATATATTTGAAGTGCCACCATTATTATTGACATATTTATGATATTTTTGACTGTTATTTTGTATAGTTTTGTAGGCCTTAAACTTTTTCTCTGATACTATGAACTTAATTGTAGTATATATGGGGAAAGAAGACAATAGAGAAAGAAATCATAAGAAAACTTTGTACACAACTCAGTGGTGCCACAGCATTACTAATTTTCACAGTTTACTGACTGTTGGCAATAGCATATCCTAAAGAAATGTCAGGTTAATTTCCGTGGAAGACACTTTTTAGACTAGCAGCAGGCCTGTTCATATTTTCTATTTCATACCATCCACAGTACCAGGAATAGGAAAACTAAAATTCATAGTTAAGTCACAACCTCTGTAACAATCGTAGTTTGTTTGTATAAATGCAAAGGAAATAGATTATTTTTCCAAAATAATAAGTGTCCTACTGGGATTTAAGGAAAAATTGAGATAAATGTGATTTCAGTGTTGTCTACTTAGAATAGCATTTTAAAGCTTTTTATCATTTTCCTTTCATGTGCAGGCAGAAAATGGTGGTCAATATTTTATTTGCCTTCTTGATAAAGAAATGCTTTGTATCATTTTGGAATATATTAGAGGGAAGAGATTTTTTTTTTCCCTAAATGTCACTTAATTTTCTGTCATGTTACTATTAAATATTAGAATCATTGAAATGTTGGACCTGGATATAGCAATAGTGTTATGACTTAGTGTCATCATGTTTTAATATCAACTCAACTTTAAGAAAAAGCACTTAGATTGCAAAGCTTGAGTAATTGGTTAGAAAGAGTAAGTTAAACAGTGTTTTTCAATTTTTTAAATTCTAGAACAGGTGAAATTTCTATGTCAGTTTTTGGCCTTAACTAATGTTAATGTCCTCAGTGTCTTCATCATTTGAGTAAAATAAGGAACACACAAGACTTATAGATAATTTTTTTTAAAAAATACAAAGGTATTAAGTTGGCTTACTTATCCAAAGATATTGCTGAGGAATTTCTAAGCAAGAAAATGAAAATGAAGTTTGTTTTCCTGACAATAGACCAGACCCAGCAGGTCATTTTTGCTTTACTCCTGCTTAATATTGGTTTCTCTTAAATATATGTTACATTTTCTTACTTTGGAGGCAAATTTACTCTGCCTAATTTATTAGGATATGGACCATGTCCATTCTTGCTTAATTTATTTTAAACAGCATTTAATTTACTGAAAAACTTACCAAGATGTCAGTTGGTTTTGGTATTAAGGAAGGAGGACTGTCTTAAAGAACCTACAGTATCAAAAATAAATTAACTGCTGTGGCTCCGTTTTGACTAGCTGGCTTTAAAGTGCCTTCCTAAGAATCCTGCTGTACATTTTCAGAGTTGTTTCCTTTATGTGGGATGAAATGCTCTGTGGTGCTTTATAACATGGAATCAACTTTCTTCTTATAGAGTAGTGTAGATAAAACACTACTGGAACAGAGTAGAGCCAATTCTCTGAAATGGGAGGGTGGAGAGGTGGCTCTCCACAAACACAACCCTGTGAGGCAAATAATTTCTTAACATATGCTATCTAGGAACTTGCCAGGGATTCAGGTAACAATGTGATAAAAGAAATAGTGCTGATCTTGTGTGTTGATCTCGATCTGCACTAGCATGTTTGTTTCTTATTGTCTAAAAATTTCTTGTTTTTAAAATGCTGCTGATAAAATGCTTGACACTACATTTTTGACAGTCATCTACGTATGTGTAGTGTGTAGATTTTGTTGATTTAGTTTTACTGTGAAGTACCCTGCATTGCTTTTCCTAAACTAGAATTTGAAGATCTTTTAAGTTAGAGGTATTAGATTGACCTTGAATATTTTTCTTAAATACAAATGCCTTTTCATCTAGCAAACCAAAAATTTATCTCAACGTGTTGGGAAGAGTGAGATGGGAATAGAATTTTGAGGTAACTCTAGTGTTTGAGGCATAAAAGGTATGTGGAGTAACTCGTTACTTTCAGAACATGGAAATACATTACCTATAACCATACCACTTTGAACCAAGTATTTCTTGAATAACAATCATTTGTGCCTAATTGCATTAATGTGAAATTGTGAAGTTGTCTACTAAGCTTTATTTTTTCTTCAGTTTAAGGAGCAAGTAGTAAGAAAGCTGACCTAATGTTTTAAGATTTATTTTTATTGGAAATGCAGATTTCTAGAGAGATGGAGCGACAGACAGATCTTAACATTTGCTGATTATTCTCCAAGTGACTGCAGTGGCTGGAGCTGAGCCACTCTGAAGCTAACAGCCAGGAGCTTTTTCCGTTCTCCAATGCGGGTGCAGGGTCCCAAGACTTTAGGCCGTCCTCAACTGCTTTCCCAGGCCACAAGCAGGGAGCTAGATAGGAAGTGAAGCAGCCAGGACACAAACCTGTGCCCATGTGGGATCCCAGCTCCTGTAAATTGAGGATTTAGCTACTGAGCCATTGCAGTGGGCTTGCCTGAGATGACCTAATTTGATACTCTGTTTTCTTGAATGTGCTTAACACTGTTACAATCTGATAAAACTATTCTGGCTTTCATCCGCCAGTAGCTCGAAAGTTTTGTTGTATATCTCCCATGTGCTTCCCAAATATCTGTAACATCAGTAAGCTGAGAGCATTCTGATAATGTAATTTTAGTGTATGTCCTCATTGAAAGATAAAAGGCCAAAAATTAGACATTCTTATTAACAACCTTTATTACTGATGTGAAATTTTCCTTTGTAAGAGTATCTTGGTTGATAACTAGAAATCATCATTAGGAAATATTTTTACAGAAGGGGTTTTTCTCTTCAAGAAAAAAGTGGAATAACAGCAAAGTTTGATTGAATTCCTCAGTAGAAAAGTTCTGGATACATATGATTCTGGAATATGTGTATTAATGAGTGTAGTTTTAGCCCTTACATACGTAGCGACAATCAGATATCTTGTTAATAGGCTTTTTACCTATGAATACTACTGTGGAAGCCCCAAAAACAGTGTAACCTGTAAAGATTGTAAAAAGATGAATTTCTCCCACATAGCTTGGTTGGATTGTCCCTCGTGTTTAGTTTTAGAGATTTTTCTATTCTCTTCTACTTCACTGGAGCAGTCCTTCTGATCTTTTAAAGCACAATTTATTTACTTTTTTTCTAAACACTCATCTTAAAAGGAAGAATAAACATTCCTTCGTCTACTTGCAGTCTTATAGCCTGTAAGATGAGGTTTCTTTTGCTCCTTCCTCTGACCAGATATTGCTGTGACTTTTTTTTCTTTTTTACCGTTGTGTGTGCAGCTGTTTTGTTCTTTCGGATGGCTGAGATGTCTTGCGTGTGTTTTGTACTATTAGAACGTTTTATACCGTGGCTGTTTTTATGTGGGCTGTTAATTACGCTGTGCTAAATATTCTTCAAAATGTAATGTCAAGTGATGTTCTAATAAGGTCAGACTTTAACATGAGAAGCTCCAGTGGCGGAATTCGTGAGTGCGCAGTACTTACACAGACTTTAACATCAGTATTACATCTTGTTCTATGCCAATTTTATTAGAGCTTTATTTATTTTATATACCTGTAGTTGATAAATGGAAAAGCCATTACAAAATAATTGTTAAAAATGTCTTAGATTTCTCCCAAATTTTATAATTTTAAGGAAATTGTATCCTGTTTTTCTGGCACTCACAGCTTTAAAATATTCATGAAATTTTCTTTATGTTTCATGTGTTTGACTTTTGTTAAGGTACAATTACAGATTTCTGAAAGCTAATAAATAGGCAAGATGAGTATAGATTAAGCCAGCTTTCACTAAAACATGTGTGAGTGCACATGTGCTGCAGAATTCAGTATTAGCCATAATTTTTTTCCTATACAAAACAGATTGTGGATAAATTGTCTTTACAAGTTAAAAGTCAAACTTTTTTTTCTATTACTGTCAATTGCATTTGAGCCAAGAACAAGTTATTTATCCTTAAATATTGAATTGTTAGTTTCCGTATGTATTTTGCCTTATTCTGACACAAATGAAATGGCTTGAGAAAGAACTTATGGAAGTAATTTCTGAGTAAACCTTTGCCACACCTCTGTTCCGTTGCTTTCAGAGGAATCTCTGACCTCTGTCATCTTCAGTTTATTCTGTAAAATAATGATTAATAATACCCATGAATATTGTTTAAGAATTTCAGATGAGGTTCTGGCAGCAGCGCTTAGATATTAAATGATTATCTTTTGGTGCCTCAATAAAGCAATTTAATAATTTATCTTTTTAAACAAAGTTTGCCATCTTGTACAGATAAAATCACCCCAAATTTTTTGTTTTATTCTATTTGCTTTTGTAAACAAACTTGTTCAAGTTTTTAGATTAAATCATTCAGCAAGCTGGAAGCTCTGGTAAGATGGCAAGAAGTGGTCTCTTTCTGAGACTATAGCAGGGTACAGACCTCTACTGGTCAACTTTTCATTTTAATCGACACATTGTATCATCTAACAGTAAGGTTGTTTACCGAAACTAAGGGAAAGAATTTGGACACTGTTAATATAGAGCAGCTGTGTCTCACTGATACAAGCCTCAATGAGGACCTGGGAAAATGAGCAGTGCGTATCCATAGAGCATTTTAGGTACAAGAAAGATTACGTGCTTATGCTTGGCGCTAATATATTATGCTTGGTGCTGACAGGAAACCGGGATTAGTGTGACTACAATGAACTCTTAAGAGAAGTAGCAGGCATCAGGAAGAGTTTGGAGAGACTGAAATTAATGATCATTCCAGAATGCAGGTAATCATACAGGGCAGGTAGCTTTGTAAAAACTTTTATTGAGTGGGTTAGGAATCTGTTTTGATCAAAACATGGAAGGGAGGGAATATTATTAGGAAGATGTTAACAGTAACTTTGGGTGAGTAATGGTGAATAGCAATGGGAATAAGTGGTTTAATTGTGTCTACATTTTGAATATATACAGGCCGTACTGATGGATTAGATATGTAATATGAGAAAAGGATAATGGCTCCAGGATGTTGAGCTTGAACAACTCCAAGAATGAAGTAAACATTTACCAAGATGAGGACAGCCCAGAGAAGCAGGTTTGAGAGGGAAAGATTGAATGCTTTAGGACAACTGTGATTTTTTTTTTTTTAAGGAGAACTGTGATACTAACACAGTCACACAGGCTTTCTGTAATGAGATTTTTAAAAGATAGGTAACAGTTTCCAAATAAAATTGAAGGGGGAATGCCATTTTTACTACTTAATTTTCAAGATGAAGCTTTTTGTTTTTGGAATAGTTGTATATGCATGAAGTGCTAGTTCCTTTCTGTTGTTGGTTAATTGCTTTTCTGACTCCATTTGACACTAGGGGGCAGGCTTGCTCCTAGATTACTTATTAGATGAATTCAACCAAACACAGTATTCCGTCCCTGTTGATGAATGTATTTGTTTCTCAAGTGACAGGTTTACCATATTTTGATTTTCTTTATTGTTGTGGAAACATAAAGTAATGCTATTTTTTAGAATGTCTAGACTGGTAGCTGATTAATATTTGCTTTAAAAGTCCAAGGAAGCTGAAATGTGGTTTATTTACATTTGTGTAGGTTCATTATGGAGGATCCACCATGCTTTTAAGAGTATTTAATCATAAGAGGGTTTAAAGTGAGTTGGCAGAAATCTTAAGCTTAAAAATATTTATTCAGGAAACAGAAACTGTTAACTGTGTGCTAGGAATTTGCAGTATATAGTATCTTGTTCTTAAATATTTAAGTGTCTTTTCCCCTGAAATTATGGTTTTTGGTCACAATTACATTTAAATAAAGAGAATCAGGGAAACAATGGGAATTGGTGCCTTTGCAAAAGCCAATTTTGTTTTTTCACTTAAGGACTATTACAGAGAAACTTGCCTGTCAGTATGTGTACAGGTAGTCACTGTAATGATTCCAGTCACCTGTCTGCTCCAGTTCCCATATGCAGTAGGCTTTACCGCCACTGCTAAGAGGAGTTAGCAGAAATACCTACTGGTGTCCAAAGAGAGCGGGAGGTGTGATGTTAGCAGACAGTGTGAAGAGAAGAAATTAATGTGGAAGGTCAGTGCCCCTCTCTATCTGGCTTCTCTGTTTGGGAAGTCAGAACCTTTCAGAGGCTTACTTTTTTGTTTTCCTGTGGAATCAGATAAGGGGGGAAAGTGGGTCCACTAAGACTGGACATGTACACAGATGCATCTCGTAGAGAATTATAGTGTCAGTTTGCTCTATTAACATGGACAGTTTGGCGAAAAAATGGTTCCTCAAAGGGATATTAAATAAAATTATTAGAGTACACTTGATACCAACAAATATAGTGTCTAATAATAATAACTACTCTATCTCCCTTAAAAGTGAATCAGTTTGGCTACAAAGGAAGGAGTTTGTGTGTTTTTGTAAAGAAAAATATTGGAAACTATAAAGCCAAAATGTGGTAGTGTTTAGTTTAATTACATTGAGGCTCCAAAATAAAATTATTAAGTAGGACCCTTTTCAAAAAGTTTCACCTAGAAGCATAATATTTAAAAATGCTGTGGTGGAAGCATGAAGCCATTTCCTACCCATTCAACATCCTTGCCTTCACTATCAGTTATGAGAAACTCAAAGGAACTGCGGCTCTTACTAGCACAATTTGAAAACCATTGCTTACACATTTCTACACTGGCATATCAAGCATGAACAAAGTAATAAAGTGAAACTTTATTTATTTCTAAGCAGTAGCTGGGATTGATAATATAAAATATTTGAAGTATCTTTGGAAACAGTAAGGACTATAAAGCTTATCATTCTGTCTTGGATGTATTATCTAGACCCGACTTAGAAGAAAATGTGTAAGAGCTACCAGCAGATTTTGAAAAAGTGTAAGGATGCATGAATGTGAACTAAGCCTTTACTATTACACCTTAACTCATTTGATGAATGTGAAAACAATTCCTGCTCTTTTGAGGATTGCAATTCTCAAGGAGGAAACAGCCTTGTGAGCATGGGCCATGTTACTCATGGCTCTTCTCT